GTGTCTCTCTGGAGACTAAGGTGCGTTTGATACAGGCCATGGTCTTTGCTATCACTTGTTATGCATCAGAGAGTTGGACAATGACTAAGGAAGATAGAAGGAGGATTGATGCCTTTGAGCTGTCGTGCTGGAGAAGCGTATTGAGGGTACCATGGACTGCTAGGAACACTAATAGATTCATCCTGGAAAGGGTCAATCCGGGCTGCTCCTTGGAGGGAAGGATTCTAAGGCTCCGTCTAACATTCTTTGGACATGTTGCAAGGAGGGACAGGTCCTTGGAGAGGGATATCATGCTTGGTAGGGTGGGGGGACAGTGCAGATGGGGAAGGCTCCCTATGAGGTGGATTGATTCAGTGACTGGGGTAATTGGGATGGGTGTGTGGGAGATGGTGCAATTGGCACAGGACAGAGCAGAGTTCAGTGATGCTTTACATAGAGTCGCTATGAGTCACAAGCTACTCGATGGAATATAGCAACAACAACAACAACAATATAGTGAATTTTGTTGATTGTTTTTCTCATGTTGAACCATCCTTGCATTCCTGTTAAGAATCCTACTTGGTCATGGTTAATTATTTTTTTAATGTGCTTTTGGATTCTATTGTCAAGGATTTTGTTAAGAATTTAACATCTATTTTCATGAGAGATACTGGTCTGTAGTTTTCTTTCTTGGTAATATCTTTCCCTTAGTTTGGTATTAGGGTATTTGGTTTTTGTATTTGATCATAGAGTGAAGTGTTTCCATAGAGTGTTCCTTCTTTTTCAATTTTTTACAATAATCTAAGTAGAATTCGTGATAGATCCTCTGAATGCTTGGTAGAATTCAGCTGTGAAGTGTTCTGGTCTTGTCTTTTCTTAGGGGGAAGTCTTTTTATGACCTTTTCAGTTTCTTCTTTTGCGATGGGTTTGTTCAGGTGTTCTCTATCCGTCCTTAAAAAATATTGGTAGGGAATTTGTCTATTTCCTCTAGGTTTTTTAATTTTAGCAGAATATAGCTTTTTGTAATGCGATTTATTTTCATCTGGTTCTGTTGTGATGTCACCTCTGTCATTTCTTGAGGATTGTATATGATTTAAAGTCAGGAAAGGTTTGTGTCAGGGTTATATCCTTGACACAACCATATCTTTTGAATCTGAATGTTAAGGAAATTCAAGAAGTTGGACCATATGAAGAAGAATGTGATGTCAAAATTGCAGACAGTAACATTGTACTGTGTGGGTGAGTGAACCTTACCTTCAGAAAGTGAAGACAACTCAAATTATCTCCTCAGAAAGGTCAAAGCTTTCATCTTTCAATATGAACTGAACTCTAACATCAAGAAAACAAAAGTCATTACCACTGGACAAATAAGCAGCATCATGTTAGGTGGAGGAAAAGATTGAACTTGCCAGTTAATTAATTTTACTTGGCTCCACAGTCAGCACACAGGGGAGCAACACTCAAGAAATTAGATTTATTGTAGTGGACAGTATGCTGTCATGAACCTCTTTAACTTGAGAAAAAAACAAGGATTTCTATTTAAAGACCAGAGAACACCAGACCCAAACCATGCACTTTTACTTGTTCAAAATGCATGTAAGAGTTTGTCAGTAAATAAACAAGACTGAAGAATTAGTGCCTTTGAGTTAAGATGTTGGTGAAGAATATTGATTTTCCCCATGAACTCCCAAAAGAATAGCCAAATCTATCTTCAAACAAATGTTTCTTGTAGGTAAGTAGGGTGCAACTTTATCTTATATTCTTTGGACATGTTGTTAGTAGGGCTGTTGTTGTTGTTGTTATGTGCCGTCGAGTCACCTGCGACTCATAGCGACCCTATGTACAACAGCCCTA